CACTCTCTCACTCTCTCTCACTCTCTCTCACTCTCTCACTCTCTCTCTCTCTCTGTCTCTCTCTGTTGTTCTGTTGATAGCTGTGCAAAAAGAAGTGGCATGAGCAGTTGATGGACTCGACTCGACCGACTCCCCGGACCCCCGGACCCCCGGAACGGTGCCGCCGTGTGGCTCGTAGGTGGCATTTCCCACACGTGCCAGCCACAGCCTTGGACACGTGTGGCACGGTAAGCCGCGCGGTTCCGTGGACCCGGCGTGGACGGCGTGGACCATGTGGCGCTGCCCAAGGTCGGTCGTGCTTTAGATGTTGTGAAGCGTCAGTGGCGCAGCACTATGCTTCTTGGTAGATCAGTCTTGTATGATCAACATGGCAGTCATGCAAACGAAACTTGCGACCAGAAGTGTCCGAGACATTGTCATGCGGCAAGGAGCTCAAAGAAACCAACCTCTCTACGATCTGGTGGGTCAATATCCCATAAGAAAGATCCAAACCACCAGAATGTACCAGAAGGATCCAGAAGGTTCTATGAATCCTCCGGATTCCAACCGTTTCTCGGATCCAACCTTTCCCAGTTCCCTTGGCCCAGTTCCAGCAGTTCGCAACAATTCTCGCAAGATGGTCCAAAATCCAAGGAACAGAAAGCACCAAATGGGATCGCCCGCCGGTTCACTCCATGAGCCCGTATACCAGGGCTGATACCTCGGAGGTCTAGGTCTAGCCAGGCAACTGGGCGAGCCATGGCCAGGCCGACAAGGTTTCAGAGGGCTGGGGAGGGCAAGGATCAGTCTGACCAAGTCAAGTTGAAGGAAGGCTGAGTTTGAGGTGCCAGGGAGGTCCATCCTCTTCTTCTTTTGTAGGGTGTTCGGACCCAAAGATATCCAAAGATGGCAAGGTAGACTTGCAAAAGGCATTGGTGCTCCATGTTTGTGAGGGAACCTCTAGAGAGTCACCAAGCTGACAACCGAGTTGTTTGGTCCTGGTGTGGCCTTACACTCAGGTAAAACTTGTTGCATTTTGACGCCAAGAAGATCATTTCATTGAAGAGAGTTGAGATAGCTCCTCCAAGGGAGCTGAGATAGCTAGCTGAGATGGCGTCATTTGATTTATGAATCCCCAGCTCACTCTCGCTCACTCTGTCGAAACCTTCAAAAAAACATGCGTTTGATCAAAATTAAAGAACCAAACAAAGGTATCATCCGCTTTTGACTGCGGATGGCCGTCACATCGCGTAACTGCCCAGATTCCATCCACCAAATCCGGTGGCGGTGGCCGTTCGGGTGGCTGCCTTGGGAGGCTCGTGCAGGGCCGAGAGGTTTGGGCCTCGTCTCCCGTTTGGGGTGCCGTATCTCACCCGAACATGGCACCCACCCCACACCTTCGAAACGAAGGTACGACTGGAGGTCTGTATGGGTCTGTATTTTGAAGAGCAACCTCAACAGTCTACCCAAATGGGTAGACGGTAGACTTGACCCATTGGTTGGCTTGGGCACGTTTTCAGATTTGTGTCACGTGTGTATTTTTGATAGCGAAAAAAGGTCGACCATTCCTTTATATCATGGTCTTCAAAGGCTATAAAGGAGACACCTCTAGCCACCTTATAGGAATGGGCAGCTATAGCCACCTAGGTGCTATAATGGTCTTCCAGGGCATATGTTTGAAAAAGGGAGACACCCCTATATATATAGGCCCTGGAATGGGCAGCTTCGGCCTGTTCTGAACCGAACCCACAGGGGTCGTTGCCTGGGAGGTCTCCTCTTGGTCTCTTGGAGCGGATGGAAGGAACCATGGATGTGGTGAACCAAAAAGAAGGAAACCACCAATCCCCAAAAAGGAGGAAACAACATGAAGCAACATAAAAACAAACCCCACCCATATGTTTTTTTTTTCAAGAAGGAATCTGATCGTTTTGAGCATTTTTCCGCGTTCATGGTGTCTTTTGCCTTTCATTTGTTTGCTCTCTTGTGCCTCCTATAGGACCCTTCTATAAAGTACTTCTTCGCCCCAGCGGCATCGTAGGTGGCCCAGCGGAGGCTCTCCAGGGACCCGGCCGTGACATGGTTTCCTGGCGGCCAACCAGTGCGGACGGGGCTTTGGATGTGGTTATTATAGCTTTGGATGGATGACGGAACTCTGGATTGCAGCTGGATTTATATATTGTTTTTTTAATACACTGCAAGTCAGCTACTGTCCCGCAGTGCTTTTGACGAATATTCCAAGCACATGCTGTGGAGAGCGTGGAACGAAGCGTCAGGCATCCCACAGTCCCTCCATTTCGCACCTCTTGATGTGTCTGGACCAATCAGTTTACACATTACAAAATTGCAAATCTTCCCACCAAGTGGTGTCATTGTCCTTATACTTGCTAATCTAAATCTGTTCGAACGTGCCCCGCTTCCCCAGAGCATTCGCCCTCGCGATCCCTCGATACGTCTTCCTTCGCCGTCGTCTTCGCCGTCTAACGCCACGCGGGGGCGACGTCCGCCCGACGGACGCGGTTCGCAGACGTCTTCGCCGCTCCATATTGCAAGGTCACGCCGGCCAAATTGCCTGGGAACGCCCGGAACGAGGGATTGAGCATGGGTAAATGCGGCTGGAAGTAAATCAGCATGGTGGCCAGTTTCTGTGTTCTTGGACGAGGGAAGCGTTCTTGGGTGGAGGTAACACACTCCATTTGTTTGAAGCTTTTGGTGGTCATGTATCTTTCACTACTGGGGTCTTTTTGGTGTACATGGCGGTTTGGATGTGTTGATTTAGGTCCCACAAATCACACCCTTCAGCTTAGTAGCCATCCCAGGGTATAGAACCTTATATAGCTAGATCTTCCAACTGTTCAACCCGTTTGCCTTCTCATCTGTTACAAAAACAGCCAAGTGCGGCCAACATGTTGCACAGTTGGAAGATCTAGGTAGCCGCATTGAGAGACATGATTGGATTCCAAGTTACAACCTCAATGTTTTAGGCCTTACCAAGAAGTTCCAGGAAGCCTGAAACGGCTTTTCTTTGAGCCTAACTGGGGCCTCCCTATTTTGCTAAATATGTCAAATGATATTTGATGTAATCATTGATTATAGAATATACTCCCTACTATCAAACTAATCAATTATTCTGGCGATAGACTATAGATATATCATAACATCATATATCTACCTTCCCTGAGATGAAAGACTTCTGCACCCCGGGTGTCTTCCATGATTTGACCATCTGTCGACGAAACGGTCGGTCCAAACTGTCGGTTGAAGTGACTGATCTCGTCCACCTCTTCGATGCCTGTGGTTGGCCTCACGAGAGAAACAACCAAAAAGGTACCGGCCCCGGCCCCGCTTCCAATACAAAAGCATTTACCCCCCCCCTTCCCCCTTCCAATACTCACCCACCCAATGTATATGTTTTTACCGCAAATTACAGTGTTTTAGTGATATACCCGGGAAAAAGGACCACATGGAACCTGAGGCCATGGACCAGACTGGAAGACACTTTTCCTCTACAAACCGGGCGTGGTGAACTCGGGTTCCGTGTGAATCGTACTCTTGGGCGTAGAACATCTCCGATCATCTCTGGGTGAATTTTTTGGGGTATGTAAACCAATTCGGTATAGGTGTTCCGAAAGGAGCAAATGGAAGATTCAAAATGGAGAGATGTCTCCAATTTCTCCTCTCCAAAATGGCCCAAGCACTCTCTAGAACACTACAAGCACCCAATACTGCCGTAGCTCTTGAACTTGATTGGCTTGATTGGCTTTCGCAACTTGCAGATCAACCAACACTTGAAAAACAAAAAAACACAATCCAAATCCAATCAGCACCTCATCTCTCACCTCATGTCATCTCACCACAAAAGTCATCCCCACGTCATCCTGCCCCTTTTTCACGGCACTGCTACGCTGCTACACTGCACTGGCCTTGGAATCGGCTGACATTGGCACCAGCACAAGCGTCCCAGGAGTGACGGGCCATCCGGGTCGGTGGTCAGCGCCAAAATCTGCTGCACCGCCGCGTCTGGTCCGTCAGCGTTCGGGAGAGGTGCGGTAGGCCGGTGGCACCGTGCAAAGAATGGGACAAAGAATGGGCAAAGAATGGGACACGTGGAATCACGATACACATCATTTAAATGTATGTGCCCATGGGTGAAAAGAAACCTGTTCAAAACCATGAAATCATCATGGGTTTAAACGGTTTAAACGATGTTTGTACTAAAAACCTGTTTAAACCCATGGTTTTTGAACCTTGCAGGTCTGCTCGAACATGTGGCACATCCATATATGGATTGCAGGTCAGTTCCCCAAACAGGACGAGAAGTGGTGACCTCTTTAGACCAACCGTCCCAGTTGGCAGTGGCCAAGACGAAGCGGGAGTTGAGCCAATGAAGTCGCTCGAAGGTCAAGGTCAATGTATGATATGTATTAGTTTTAAGAAAATGACCTAGATCAACATACTTCTGAGTGTGAACATAACATCGACCTATACACATCAATATATGTCTGAGGATGATATATGAACGTGAAAACACACATTATATCAATGAACATATTTCTGAGCATATAAAAATGGATCTAACTTCTACTCCCCAGCCAACACTAGGATGCAACATGATGAACCAAAAATTGCCAAAATGGACTGAAGATGGCTCACAACACCATCGATCACCCCGTGTATTCGAGGCCTCGATCATAAGTCTTCAGACAGCAGCAGGCAGTCGCGGCTGGAGGGCAGCAGCCAGCAAGCGCCATGGCTCTAAAGAAGAGGTTCGGGATGGAAAATTGGAATAGCCAGTGAAGTTCTCATCACTGTAATCAACTCATAATGAAAACATATTTTTGGTTTGGAAGTTCTCCCCTAAAAAGGCGTCTCATGCTATCACCTCTTACAACCCTGGTAGCATCTGCAAAACTACCTGACTATGCCTGACAGCACCATGCGATGCTCAATCCATCCATGTGATGCTCATGTCTTTGAAGAGCCAGTGAAGGCCTCCCTCACCACTGAAGGTACAGCTATGCAGCCATCGATGGTTCCAGGTTCGGTTGGCCCGAGTGCCATCTGTGAGGGCTTTCAAGAGAAATAGAAGCAAATACTGTAGAACCCATAACAGATTCCAATGTCTGCCACGAGTTATGTCTAGTCACTCTATCTCTGACCAACGAGACACCGCCATCATACATTCCGATGTCATGCGATTTCTACCACATTCAATATCCGATCTGTTGGAACATTAGAGATCGTTAGAGATAGAGGAGATATCAATGATATCAAGAGATTATATTCCAAACCTGTCTCTATGACCCGCCAAGTTAGTGTGTTGACCACAAACAAGGGACTTCTCCCTAAGTAACATGACATTTCAGCATTGCTTGGCGCAAAGTCACGTCATACCCAACTGGTACCTGGGAATTGACATAAGTAGCGAGACACTTCATTCACAGCATCCAGGACTGAAAAAACAAACATTCACAGCAGAAACCCTGGAGCGAACCTCCCTCACGGTAGCAACGCACCGGACAATTTGCTTCTCATAATTCATCATATCCGCTCCATAGCTGTTCAGGTCTTCCACCAATTTTCCACCATCTTCTCATCCCCCACCTGTATCATATACCCCATATCCAGCATGCGATCGGAGTTCTGGTCTCCGGGATCCTATCGATCGGAATCGGAGTTCTGCTCGTCATTTTTGACCACTTTGTCGCGATCGAAGCTCAGTAGGGCACATTCCTCACGTAGATCGATGACCTGCGGGGAAGAGTGATCTCCACCGGGAGATGACACGACCAAACGGGAGAGAGGTCTGTGGTCGAGTGGAGCAAGTGCGGTAGTTTAGGCTGCCCTATAGACAATCAAGCACTTTGTGGACACAGCCTTCCTGTTAGGACAGCCTGTGCGGTGTTGAGGCTTCCTGTGCTTGATTGTCTACAGCACTGTTGTCTTCATGATCTTGGCAAACAATCAGCTGAGCCTTCCTGTTCCATCCAAAAAGCCTGCCTTTGGATCCAAAATGCAAAAAAGATCAAACATGAGAAATGAGTAATGTTGCTCTTCCGACGTGAGAAAACGTATCATTACTCCTTCCATGTCCTGGGGTTGTTGCAGTCCTGTTGCGGCGCGAAAACTTCCCTCCCTCCACCGGAATGGGGGGGTCACCTAAAAACCGAGGGACCGGACCGAGGGATCGCATGTCCTGGGCAACCGACAGGGAAGATGGATAGCCCAAGTCTCTAGGAACCCTAGGGATGTAGCTTCGATCTGATGAGGGTACGACTGGACCCGCCGCAGTGTCGAACACAACACCGTACCCTGAGGTTCGGAAGGGGAAGGATCCCTAGGGTAGGGGAAGGATCGCCTTTTTGAGGCGAAGATGGCCATCCACTTCCATGGAACCATAAGCGACTTGATGAGGGTACGAAGTCATCGATTACCATCGATCACGATGATCTATAAACCCAACTGCAATGGACGTCAATACCCCCATCTATCCGTTTTTGTAATTACTAATTATACGATAATTAAGATCGAACTGTATGACGTGTGAGTCGTGGATCCACCACCCACCTCTCGGCGTGGCCTCATACCCCAGCGCAATGAAGGGCTGTGCTGCCCATGCCGCTTTTCCGGGTTGACAGCCTGAGCACCAAATCATCCGAGAAACCGTGAGGAAATACGTGATCATCAACTTCATCCCGAAAAGAATGCACATCGTGAGTCAACAGGGTCGCGTGGGCACCCAGGTCAGACCCGGGCTACCCCTATTTGCTCCAGTGGGACCAAGGGGTCTTTCCACCGGGGGACCCTTGCTTTCACCGAACATGAACAGAATAAATACCGTGCTCCCGGTCCACCTAGCAGGGTCAGTTCCAGGTTCCGGTCCACCAAAATGCGCCCAATCCCCCTCGAAATCATCTGCTCAGTGCGTCCGTCCGAGGCCCGAGCTCATCACCACCGAGGCCTGGTCCTTCAAAACCTCAGTCCAGCCCGGTCTGGGCCGATGAGATTCACCGATGGTCTGGTGCACCGAGCCAACCGGGCCAGTTCGCAAGGAAGAGTTAAACCATGAGGGAATATGAGGGAATACTTATGTTCGCCGGACCCAGGCTATCTCTGTCAATTTTGAAAAACCATCAGAGATAGCCTACTGTAAGTGGTTTACATAAGGGAATTCGAGTGAAGGGAAGTTGATATGTAAAGAATCCTAGCATCCTATCTATGGATTTGTTGTTCCAATTCATACTCAAAGAGCTTGAAAAAGGTTTGTTTCAACATGTTTCAACTGACATGGATACCACGGTGACTCGGGACACGCTTCCCCATGCCAGCGATTCAGTCAGGTCGGACCAAATACCGATCCACCCGATTCGGAGTCCGCGGCAAGATCATCACCTAACCCTCATGGTCCGGAATAGAACCAATGGGAGCTCAACAGCGAACACCATGACGAACAGCCATGGTGTTGCTCTAACTCGTACCATTTGCACCAGTGGAAGCTGTGGCAACCTGCAGATCTTTGTGGCATGTTTGCTCATTCCAGCAACTTTGCTTATAAACAGGAATAGTACCTGAACAAAAAATCAGGCAATGCTGACTATGCTAAATATGGTGAATACCATGAACACTGATGAATTCCCAGGGCTGCGAGTGGAGCGCTGACAACTAACTACTGGAAACCATGTCTGATGCACAGTTCCAAGACTTCGTGACTTTGATGGTCTTTGCCTGCATGGAGTGATCTGTTCTTTTGACCGATCCATGAAGTGTTGAACATGAAAACACCATCCCTGGGGTGGAACAAACAACACCAACAATAAAGTTACATATGCTGTAACACTATGTGGTATCAAAACCTTTAAACAAAAACACATTACATGGTCCAAATGCAACTTGGGACCTTTCCCTGGTGCTACTTTGGATACTACACTCCTTGTCGTATTTCTTGCACATCCAAGTTGCATCAGGCAGACACTCCGCCAGCTGGCGGTACGCGCCCAGGCCGTCCTCCAGCAAGGAGACGGCAGTGATGGCGTGGGTATGTTGGTACTGAAACGGAGCAGTTGCCTTGTTTGGAGTCAACAGTCAAGTTGATGTTAAAGCTGAAATAGATGTCAAAGTTCACCAAAAACCCATGGCAAGACGGCCTGCCAACAAAAATTATTCTTCAATATTCTGCAAGTGTGATTGACTCAAAATTCACCTAGAACATCTAGAACTGCGGGTCAATGCCACCCAACCACAGGACTTTGAAGCCGCCGCCATGCCACGCCACCTTAGCCGCTTTGCCCTTAAGATGCTCGTCCCTTAGGGGCTCCAGTCCATCCAGAAGCTACGACCACTACCACCAAAACCACCCACCGTCACCTCAGGGAGCTACCGACCCACCGAGCCACTCGACCCACCGAGCCGCTCGGAGCCCAACGGCGCCCAACGGAGCCCAACGGCAGATGGGACACCGGGCCTCTCCGGCGGCGAAGGCTTTCACCGATTGGCTCTGCAGCTCCCGGGCCTCGCAGCCGAGAGGAAGTAGATGCAAGGTGCCGGTGTTCTTCAGACGCTGGAAGAGCTGAAGAAAAGTCAGCTAAACTAGACATCTTGGATTGAAAGAACGGACATGTGACATACTAACGGACATATATAATTTGGATTAATTTGGCATATCTGCAAATGAGTTTTGTGGAAATTCAATTGTGTTATTTTTGTTGTTTCTCACTCTCTCTCCCTCTCTCTCGCTATCACTACTATGGATCAAAAGTCAAGTGTTTCAAAGCGACTACCCTTCAAGGTGCGTGCAAGTCTATGTCTGGCCCATACCCGTGTACATACGGATACTATGGGTTGGGTACCCATGCCCTGATCCAGATTGTCCTGATCCATCCCAATCAAACAAAGACACTCCAGGCCTGTATCCTTGCGGAATGGACTAACCTGGACCATGGATTCCAAAAAGATATGCGTCACACTCGGTCACACCCATTTGGGCTCCAAAAATGCAGCTCGTTTCAGCCTTGATAGCTGACTCCCAAAACCGGTTGGATACCATGGGAAACATGTAGGGTGAACCAACCGTTAATCCATGTGAAACCTGTTGAGTTGGGTGCTCCCCAAAAAAATCACTGATCCGCTGTTACCGGGTACGTATGGATAGGCAAGACAATTTTGGCTGAACTGTTCCTACTCTTTCATGCTCAAAACGATCCCATCTATGGCCCCCTCAGGTATCGCTGAGGGTTCGCGCATAGCCCACGTGAGACATCAACCTCTCGGGCAGGTACCTGAACTCAACGCTGTGATTTTCAAAACGAAGCCTAAAAGAAGCAAAGAGAGTCCAAATCCTAGATTGAGAAATCTTGCTCTAGTGGAGAAAACGAGTAACAAAACAAAAAACATATGACATCATTCATTTCTCGACAACAAAACACATCAACCTTAAAAATACAGCATCCGCAGCGGCAGCACGGTGGGTTGGACACGGCCAAGTCGAAACCTGGCGGGTTTCGGCATCAAAGCATTATAAGATCCATATATTAGCTACACCTGGAAGAGACCCACATTGAACCTGAAAAGGTCCATTTCCAGGTTCGAATCTTCCCGGGTGTATCAACACAGAAATACGCTGAAATACAGTGGCATGTATAACTTGTTCATACTTGTTCTGTGATTCTTTCCTGGAAACAGGTCTAACACCCCATGCCATGTTTGGTTAGCGTTTCAAGTTTCTCTCGGATAGTTCGGTCATATCATGCCATATCAGAGATGTGTTTTCATAGACGGTTGCTTCTTTATAAAGATCCTTCCTCATATGTTAAAAGTAGCCCTTGGGCCACGTTCTCAGCCCTCTGACAGACATGCCCGGTCACTGTTCACCCATACTGCTTCCGATCACTTTTCACATAAAAAGAATAATGTGTGCCAACGAAGACAGTTGATTGTAATTTGATTGTACTATATAGTCTACAACTCTCAACTCTGTTGTGAAATGTTGTTAATATGATTGTCCATTTTATCCAATACTCCAGTGCTATACGTATACTCTCCCTGTCATGCTTCGGACTCATCTGAGAGCAGGACGATCCAACTTACTCACACATGGATGAAAACATCTTGTACTCCCCCATCCCCACCGAAAGGCCTCAAAATGCGCAAAACGAAATACAAAAGAACACACAACAAAACAGTGGCACGAACCTGCCGAACCCGACCCTAGCAGCGCTTTCCCAACCCGCAGAACCGGGTCGAGTCACCCCGCCATCGTCGTCGACGTCGCGGTCGGGTCGAGTTGAGTCTCTCCTGCGTCGTCGACGACGTCGCGCAACTCGTCGAAGCGCATCTGGTGCACCTGCCGAAGCGCTGATCTGTCTACGCCGCCGGATCAATGGTGTCGGACCCGTTTTGGTGGTCGAAGTGGAGTAGGCGGAGGCGGAGACGTACTATGACGTCAATGTGAGGGCAGGACGGTGCGGGTAAATAAGCAAACTGTTTGTGACAGCCGGTTAGATGCCCCCTCCGAAAACTATGTTGAAATGATCTGAGGAGAATGGTATGCATCAATGGATCACAGGGTGGTAGAACTTCATAGAATCCAATACATCAATTGTTCAGATTGAACTCCTCCACCACAAAAAAAATAAAAATTGCCCATTCGAACACGATGCCATCCGCGCATTGCGGTTTCTCGATCCCCGGCCTTCGCGCGCTCCTCCAAGCCCAAGGCCTGCTTGTGAAGCAGGGGATGGGGTGGAACCGGAACCATGTCTGGGGTCAAGATGAGATCTTTTGCATTGCATGTGCAAACTAGTTGACTCTTGACAGTGTTGCCTTCTATGTTTAGTCCAATTCGCCCTAAGAACATCCTTGTTCACGGAGCAGATCAATACCTCTGAACGTGAAACTCTGAAGGGTATCCCCGAAAAGCATGCAACCATGCAACCAGTTTTCCAGAAGCAGGACCTATAGGTCGCCTAGCTAGGTCGTCCTTGGGTCTTGAAGCAAAGGGTCGTCCTTGGAGGAAAAGCGACGACGAGTCGTGACAAGTCGTCCCGTCCTGTGCATTCTGTCGGGCGCACGCCACCGCGTTCACATCCTGGTCAATGGCCACCACTGTGGCATGTGGCAGCCGCCTGGCATCGGCGCCGCTGGCATGTGTGGAGGTCTTAGGAGGGTCGCGCTGACTGGCTCTGAGTGGAGAATCATTGGTTTTGGGTTATATAGTTGTTCCAAGCACATAGGAAACAACTGGTGGAGTTGTGCAAACAAAACCCAGACAAGTCCCCGGTCCCTCACACCACCAAACATGGACACACATGGCCTAATCACATCTATTGATTGCTTTTTTTAAAACTTAGTTTGACCGCCACCCAAGTCCAGCATGATGAATTACTGTAGAAGCTGTAGAACCATTCAGCAATCATATGCAATCATTAAGTTCAATGGTTTGAGCTTCACACCTTCTCAGCCACAGAAACCAGATTCACTTGCACTCCAACAAACCACCTTCAGCGCCCTCACGACTTCTGTAGATACCAATCAACCTTCAGCACTAGATCTACAGAAGAAGTCGACCTCTCTACCACTGACCTGGCAGCAATTGGCTGAACAAACGCGCCATCATGTGCAGCTTCCCGTAACTTGGGTGTGGGTCTTTCAACCATGTGATACGGATAATCCCTGTTTTTTAGAACAGGATAAGAACAGGAATAGATATATCGATCACCGGAGAGGTCCCCAGGATGAGTTCCGGGCTGGTTTTGGAGGTGTCGGAGGGCCTGAGGAGGGCCAAGGCGATGCAGCCGCTGCCTCCGTCCGGCACCGTCCGGCGCGGTGAAAAAGCCGCAACGAGCGTGGACTTCGCCGGAAAGCAACGGCGGCGGGTGGGGCGGGTGGCGACATGTTCATCATGAGGGGAAGGAGTCCCGGACATGTATGGTATAGTAGTCAATGGTTGGAAAATGAAGGGTTCCATTGGTAGGGACAATCTCCAAAAAGGTTTGGAAGGAAGGTCCGGTAAATATAGTCCCGTTTTGAAACCTTTCGATCTGGTCAGACGGTCAGCCCCTTTACAATTCTTCGACCCTTCTTTGGAGCTTGCGCAGAAAGAACGGGACTTGTGTTGCTTCTGTAGGCCTTCAAAGAAGAACGTTCCTACATCGGAATTCGCTCAGAACATTCGCTCGGTGCCTGTGCCGCAATCAAGCAGTCGTGTTGCTCCTTGCCACGCGAAACTGTAGGAGAGTATGGACGTGACGTAGCAGCCCATCAAAGTTAAGAAAAACAATCTATTTGTGTCCTACAAGTTCCTACAACTTCTTTGTGTCCCAAATGTGGAAAAACACATCATGATAGACATGTCAGCCAATTTGGTATGTTGGACGTTGTCGGGTCTTGATTATGGATCTAGATGTACAAGGTGTTGACATGTGTTGAAAGTGACCCTCAAAGGCTGTAACAAAGGGGCCGTTTGAACGGCTTCAACTTGATGAAAGGACAACTCACTTCGACATCACCTTCTACTTGGCCACTTTGAAACTGGACGCAGCTTCTTCACGTTTCAAGTGGATAATCTTCTTGTCCGGTCAGAAGGGTCTTCACCAACTCCTAGGTCCTATATAGATGGTGGAATTTGTCAAACTTGCGTTTGTGCGCAGAAGGATCAATGCATCTCCACTCATGTCCTGGAAAGAAAGCATTCTCTCTACCGCCCAAACAATCCTTGCTTCGGATGCCAAGCTAAATCCAAATAAATCCAATTCTCCGGACATGGTCATACAACAACGCTACATCAAGGACTTAAGAAGGTCAAAAACAAACAGGTCTTACTGGGTCAACCTGGACGTACGTTCGGGATATAGTCATCACACCGTCACCCACCGGGTCGACACCACCGCGTCACCCACCGCACCTGTCGCCTGGGCAAGCTCATGCCCAGCCTCCACGCTGGGCAACGCCGAGCGTCGGGGTACGAAGACGCCTGAGGTCGACGACGACGACGTAGTAAACCCGAATGAACCGAACGTTTGGGAGGACGGGGCGGAACTGTATAGGACCTGAAAGAGAGGATCGATTTACGGATGTTCCAAGATGTCAAGGGCCTTGTGGAACACAGGGGAGGTCCTTCTTTCTTTCCCTTCACGAGGCTCTCCTGAGGTTTGTACTCCATCTATACTAACTCTCTTTTGGGGTTACGAGACTATAGACTCGAACTGGATGGCTCAAACCGTTTGTTGAGGCTCAATAGCGCCGCTTGGTGGTCTTTGTACGTGCCAGACCTTAGCAATACAGCCACATGTCTCTGACAAGCTAGTGGTATGGCCCAGGAAGATCCATGACCAGAAGGTTTGCGAAGAGTACGAGGAGGTTCTTCCAACAAGCACGTACAATGGCGCCACGAAAAGGCGTACGGAAGGCCGAAGTGTGGCCTTAGTACATGGGGATGCAAGGATGCTTCCCCTCGGCAAGTTGAGACAGGTTCATCAAGTCTATAGACTTTCCACTTGCATTTGGTTGCTCTTCTATTGGATTCATGGAAGTGGTTGGGTCTTATTTGGACACAACTCTGTGCACTGCTCGTCATCAGACTTTTATTGGGTGAGCGTCGAATGACACTGCATCGACATCGTCTCTTTTCTGCACGAACTTCGGCGCAGCTGCGAGGGGAGGCCCTTCCTCGGGGCAAGGCAAGCGGTTCTGGTCCCGTCTGGGGATGTGTCTTTTGTGCTTTGTAATTTGTTTTAAGTCCCATAAGGGGTGCTATCCATGGAGGTTAGGGGTGCCCTCGTCACATCCACTCACTGGATGGGACTAAACACCATCCATTGCATTTGTGACTCCATGTGACTCCTGGTCTATAACTTGTGCGTGTTCTTTTTGGGGGGGCGAAGGTGGACCTATGAGATGTTCAGTAACCAAATCCCAGCTTTCGGAAGTCTTGGGAGGTTGGAGTCTTGCGATTGAATGATACTCTCCTCTCCCCAAAATTGTGACTACAATGTTCGGAAAATGGTACTCCTTTCGGGGCCATTTTCCTATCCTCTTCCACCATGACAACGGATGTGTAGCGGATCTCCATTTGGTTGGTGCCTCCCTGAAAAAGTGTCGGCAAGTGTCTTTTTAGGGCACATGACCTGGCGCAGTCTGAGACCACACTACCAAAAGAAAAGGAAGGAAATGCAAGAATGCAGAACTTGTCATAGATTCCTTTTCTGGAATGAACCTATAAAACACTAATACACCCTGAAGAAAACAACATGTCTTCAATCCCTGCCATCTAAGTGCCGTGCAATCTCTGAGCTCCGGCAGACACACACACACACACATCCAAACCCCCAAGCGCTAAGACTCAATGCCTGCAAAGATCAACAGTCAACAATGCCCTGGCAGTTCTTCCGTGGTCCACATCGAACTCAGTCCTGAAACGTCCTCAGAGCTCCACCAAAAAAACCTTGAAAAACACCTATATGCCTACTAATCCCACACGATTTCCTCTACTCAGACTTAAAGATCTTTCAGGGTCACCGAGAGCCACCGCTCCAACGGGACACCCCTGCCACCGAGGTCGTTTCGTGCCCCGAGCTGCCGGGGTGTCTGAAGTTCTCGGCCTCGACCGGTCTGTGTGCGTCTCCTGCACAGACCCGGTTTCCTCGTGGGGCGACCAGGTCTCCTTACACATGGAATTCACTTCACCACGTGGAGTTTGCGATCAACAAACATCATATTCCAATTTCCATGTTTAATTAACTTAGCATAAGTATAAGGGTATACCTACTACTAAGACCTTCCGTTCGCCCGGTGGTTTTTGAACACTCCGGAATTCACCGGTTTACGAGGCTAGTCCACCTCCAACGGGTTCCGTCCTGGTGCATGAAGCTGCCGTCGATGAACATATATTATTCACCAAAAGGATTCCAAACATGGATTCGATCCGTAAAACCAGGACGTTTGATCCGTTGGCGTGTTCGGGCGAAGGACTTTTGAGTCGGGAAAAAAACACCTGTGGTGAACGCAACTCCGCTCTTCTCCGAGCTTAGAGGAGAATCTCGTTTGGATTTGTAGTGGCCGAAGGGTATGATTTTCTCTTAGGGACACCAAGTTTGTGACAAGGCATGTCTTTTAATGGCATGGTTATTACAGTTGTTATATGTACATGTATATATATTCCAACCAACAAAAAAATACCGTGGCTCCTTAGTATATCTCTTGCTTGTCCAATCAGAAGGAATACAATTAGTGGGGGATAAATTGAAGAAGCAGCCTTGCATCTTGACTGGACATGTTTCCAACCACGCAGAGAAACCCGTTGGTCGTGCCATGTCTGCATTTTCTTGCTCTAAACAGCATGCGCTCCTGCGTCAACTTGCCAAACACCAGGCCCCAGGCTTGCCACAGCTTTTGCCCTGCACAACACATGTGATTGTCGTTTTTACGGCATGCAGTCTTTGCAAATCTTGCAAACCTCTTCCTCCTTGCAAGTGTTGTTATTCTTTTTCAAGATCAAGTGATCACAACTCATTTCTGTGGTCACATCGGATATCTTGCCGTGTTGTGCCAAACAGCTGCTTTCACTGCTTGACATGGCGAGGCGGAATGGCCCTGGAAGACCCATGGTGCGTGCAGACGAACAAAGCAATTCACTTTCCTCCATATACATCATATATACAGATATCGAGAGTGATCCTCCCCGAATCGGGGCACGACGCTTCCACCACGAAGCACCGTCGTTTGCGTAAAAACGCCACTCGAAACGACGCTGTCAGTGACGCCTATGTGGTCAAGTCATGAGTCTCTGCCTGGTCGGCGATCCCATGAATGATGATCTCACGTGGGGGGTGGTGATGAGGTGAAAGAACTGGAGATCAAATCATTGATCCAAAAGAAAGCATGAAGTTTGTCAAGAAAACTGCAGATTTGGTATGAAGAGTGCCACAGAGTCGAGAACATCATATATTCTCTGTTGGTTGAAAGGCCATTTGCAGCTGGGATGAAACGCAGCATGCCCGTTCATATTTATGCGGTTTGAGATCTCGTCTCAAAAAACTGCGGTGAACCTCTTCTGATCACTGAGAACTTGCCAAGTGCTGCGTCAAGTGTCAACTACTTTATAGTTTCAATCTTCAAATTAACATATCGAATCAAACAAACTGACATATCTCTCGCACCCATGTAGTATCATTGATCCGAACCCATCCATTGCACCTTTTATTCGTTTGTATGTTCTAGTTACACTCTGGCTCTGGTATACATTCTTTCAATATCTTTTACTTTTGGTTCTTGTACACTCCGTGGCTTGTACCTGTAACCTTGTCCAACTGGGTCCGCTAGTTGTAATATGTTGTATCCAGGATTCTGCCCCACTTCAAACCATATGCCCCGGTCAACTGTTGACTCTGTCAATCCTCAGCATGATATCATATGCATTTGTGTGTTCACCTAAACAGCCACTGCGTCAACCACTCTCAACATTAAACAATGTACATAATGTTCATGATTCCTGGTCAATGCTCATAGTTCCAGACACTCACAACTCTTTCCACCAGCTTATTTTCAGGAAAACATACATCATCACATCACTCAACTGCATGGAATATCATGGCATGATCATTTGGCACATGTGTTTTTCACTTTCTTACTCCTTCTAACATCCTTCTCACACCACAAGCTGACTGCATGACTCCCCCCTTAGGCACCCAACCTTCGCGCTGCTCCGCAGCCGGCGTCGCTGCCGTGAACTGCTCCAGCGCCCGCAGCGCCCAGCGCTGCAGCAGCTCGGTGGTCTTCGTCGCGGTCGCCGTCGGCAGGATCTCCTGGGGCGCTCCGGCACAGCGGCGCCTCAGCGGCGAGGCCCCCGGGTTTCCGCGAGCGCTGGCGCTGGCGCGGCCGGCGAGGTGGGCAAGGCGGCGAGGCCAGTGATGTGGTCGAAGGACAACGACGAGGCTATGCGACTTGATTGGAGAAAAACAAGGCTCGATATACTCAAGAAGAAGACCCTCCTTGGCCCAAGTGCCACCGAACATGCTGGTGTATGGATGGATGTCAAGTTATGATGCACACAAGTGATTGACAACAGAACCTAACTTAAGCGCACTACTTTTGATATGTCCAAACAGTTTGCTTCGAGGCATTGACTTGGCTGGCCAAAGACTGGTGGAGCAGGTTGACTGAAATGGCTATGAACAAATATTTGTATGATGGTACTGTGATTCACTATCACAGCGACCCACATCACCATTGTGGCACCCTGGAAACAAAGTCAATGGATGAGGCGTAGGTGTTGTTGACCAGTCTGAGACCTCACAAAGACCTCTGGGAAAAGCAAACAAGGACTGAACATAGACTAAATTCAAAAACTCATCCACGGCTAACCCTCCACGTCACAACTGATGAGACCCATCTCAGCAACAAAAAGGGTTTGTGGTTCAAGGATAACATATAAACAGTGGGACATGCGGATTCAAGGATACACAATCAAGGCGCTGTGCGACCATGCAACAAAGACTTGGTGGACGTTTTTGGAGAGTCTTGAGTTCCATGCGACAGGCATGGGGAGCTGATGGCGCGGGTCGGCTCGTATTGACAATCCTTGTACTGACGAGCAATGCTTCTCAGAAGCCTTGAACACGGCGTCTCACTACACAGTCACTGAAACTCAGTCAAACACCATGCTGCCATGAATATGCCTTGTTCTTCGTTCTCAAATCATCAAATCCCGACCATCACCTTTCTGTCGGAAGAGAAAAAGACTTCCGAACTCCCGGGCCCATCTCTCCAGGGCTCCAGGACTCCGCTTCGCCCATCCCATCTCTTGCAAAGCAACAAGGCAGCAGTGACGATGTCCTTATGATCGAAGCTCCAGGAAGCCTCGGCCAATTTGCTCAGAGGCTCAAAGTGGGCGGTCTGCGCATCATCGCCTGCCTGTCGGAGAAAATCGGTCAATGGTCGATCGGTCTTCGCTTCGAGGAGTACCCGACACAGGGTTGCGCCATGCAAACAGCGGTGGGTCAACACAGTATGTTTAAAGAACTTATTTGTGAAACCAATCAACAGTAGCTCAGATCGATGTTTCTATATCCCAAACGCGACGAATGGGACTGCCATAGGACTGCCGATCAGTTGGGGTGGTGCCAGGGGGGTCAATGTAGGCATATATTCCATACTATGGAGCCTATGTTATGGGTATATGCTATTAGTAATTTACGTGTATATCCCTGTTATACCTAACTATATAGATTCTTCATAGCAAAGTCGCGGTCACTCCGCCGTAGACTATACTAGGTCATCCAGTTGATGAGAAACGGCGCGCGCTGTTCGCCTCGCAGTTGCGGTGCTCGGCCATGGCCAGGAAGGCCGTGGTGCTCACGGGGCCGCGCGGGTCGCGGCCGGCGGCGTCCCAAACGCCCAGCGAGACCAAGTTCAGGTCGGTGACGCCGGTTTCCTGCGGTTGCGGTGCTCGGGCGGTTCGGGTTCACGGACTCTTGGGGGTTCACAGTCCGTGAAGTATGTCCTGGAAGGAAGAATATTGTATGTATGTGTGATGTATATATATATAGCATTACAAAGCTATATGTTGAAACATGATTGAAAGAGGGGGAGTTGCAAGTTGTAACGTTCTTTCGACGCAATTTCTTTGAGGATTCCAAGCCCAAACACTACATGGGACTGGCATGTTCACATAAATTGGGGTGGTTTGAGAGGTCAATGTAAAACATGACCATTTAAGACTATACCTATAGTAACAAATTCCGCTCTCTTTGATTGAAACAAAAAGGAGGGCTTGTGCCATGTTCCAAAACAATAAAACGTATTGTTTGTTCAAGTTCTTTAAACTATTTTTTGTAGGTCACTCTATATCCCAGACACTCCATGGGACTGCCATATATGCCTACATTGACCCCCTGGCACCACCCCAGCTATTAGTACATGATCGTTTTTTGTCTTTTCCCATTCAGTACTCATCACATGAGGCCTTTTCTGTCCCAAGTACTCATGATGTATTCCTTTCCCAAGTACTAGTGTGGCCCATGAGGCCTCTGGGTCCAACGTCATGCGGACCCAAAGGCCTCCGGTGCTCCTCTTCCAGCTCTCGCCTCGCAGCATCGATGGCCACTTCGCCCCGCTCCACGAAGCCGCCGGGGAGAGCCAGAGAGCCGCGGAAGGGCGGGTTCTTTCGGGTGATGGTGAGCAACCTGAAGAGGTCGAATTCGCTCATGTATTGGATGCTTAGCCAGGCAGATGTTATGATGTTGGATGTTAAGATCTTCTAATATGTGTTCGTTCGACAATGTGTGATATATGTTTTAAATATATGGAGGATGAGGGTTGGGTAGGATTGGGATGATGGCGGGCAACCTGAGAAGTTCACATCGCGGCTAAAAGGGATGGCGCCGCCCCCAATCTGTGTGCGGGGCAACATGGTCTTCCAGGGGGCCGAATATCTTACCCTAGGGCTCCAAGTACCTCCTCAGAAGGCATTTGGACCTTCCAAACCTACCCCAAACACCTTCGAAACGAAGGTACTTGGAGCCCTAGGGTTAGTGTCATTGCATGTGTCAAAGCATATGGTCATGTTGGGTGGGGAGCTGACCTCCCCAGCCGTTGAAAAGAACCGGTGAACCCAACTCCACTCGTTGACCGTGGGCCGTGGGGTGTTGGAGGGTGGGGGGCGTGGGGGCCGGGCTTGGGAGACCTGGGCTCGGCTCGGCTTGAACGCTACACACAGTCAAGCAGGCTTCATGTTGGTCTTGAGCACTGATGCCATTCAAACATGGCAAGGGGAACAACACCTGAAGGAAAAAACACAGCCCTTTCGCTTTTAAAAGGTATAGATGGTGTATATATATATATATCACATATATAGCAAGATTATAATGTGTATATCATATAGCACAAAGTGCATCCTCAGTACCACCCCAGACACCACTTCTCAGAAGGTATGACTGGAGCCCTCAGAAGGGTGTAAGATTGCATGTACTCAACGAAGGCTACACGGTTTTGCATGCACATCCCATCCCTGCAAGCCAGTTAGCTGTGTAGATGTTGTTCTTTTTTGACAGCAGTTTGGCAGACAATGTTTGGCCTCAACGCAATCAGGCAATCTGTGTAATTAAAGCCATCTTGAGCAACTGATCTGGATAAATTCTAAGCAAACTTGGTAATTGTTCTTTTGGCCTTTTGTAAAGATGGGTATGTCTCTGCGTCGATGCCAAGTAAATTCCCAGCAACTGCGACCCAAAGCATACTGGGATGCGACTTGCTTGTCTTGGCTTTTGACCCACCATGGACCTCGTTTGTCCAGACCTGTGTCGATCTCGACTTTTGTACCTGGACCCTCCAAGGTATTCTAGAATTCCGAGAAAATGGTACATGACCAAATAAAAACAAAAACAATTAGTTTACTATATTTTGTATGCTCATTCTCCTGAACTGAGAGACTCCAGGTATATCTATTCACAAGAGATTTCCCAGAGTCTCAGTGTCGGTCCCATTGGCTTTGGAACTATAGACTAGAGGTGTGATTCTCACCGTTGCCAATCCTGAAGCAGCCGGAGCGGCAAATAACGGATTGAGACAACCTGGTTGACCACTCATCGTCTCCGCGAAAAACCAAGAACATCGACCATCGACTGGTCCAAAGGGCTCCAGCTCCTCGCCCATGAAGAAGACCAAAATGTCCGCGGTGAAGCGCATGGCCCGCAGCATGAGGTGAAGCGCGGTGTCCCGATCAGGCGTTTTTTCACCGACGCGACGCGAAAAAGCGAGGACCAACTGAATGTCTTGGGCCCCAAAAACAGCAGGACCACAGAAGTAGGGTCAGACGGGTCCGGGTCCAAAGGGGCGATGCTTTGACGAAATATGCATGCTTCCATCAAGATGCTTCCGCCACAGGTTCATGGAACTTAGAGTTCCTGGAACTTCTTCATATGCTTCTTGGAAGCTTCAGTTCCCATGGATGATGAACTTCTTCATAGCCGTCCAGGATGATTCTTTCACATCCGTCCAGGCTCATGGGTGAGATGGAATGGTGACGGTTTTTCATGGAGGGCAGAGTGCTAAAAAACGGAGGAAGTCGGGGTGCCGGACAGTACAGTTACATCCACTCACTATTTTAGGGACTCAACACCACCTCCTTACAATGGGTGGTCATCAGCATGCACCGCACCATGTACCACCGCGGCCGCACCATGCTACGGGCCGCACCTTTGCACATCGAAAGCGGTGAGAACAAATTGGTTCTGTTGTTTACTCCTCGTCCTTTCAAAGTCAGCTCAAATCCCATGGTTTTCGCGGTCCTGTGAACAGTGAATTCTACTTTTTTTTGGTCTGTCCAATATACCCGGTTGTACTGGGACCTAGGGTCAGTATGCTTTTTTTTGGGGGGGGGCTGACCCTTGCTCAGCCCCCTATATATTCGACGTAGTTGGTTCTTGGTAGGCTCTTTTTCTGTGCTTTCGGCTCCAATCCCATGGTTTGAAGCGGATCGTTCGCCAATCCCCGTAATACGTAAAGATGAAGAGGGGACCTTCGCTGACCCGGCGGAGAACAAAAATCGAACCCTGCTCAAATCCATGGTCTGCACGGATCTTTCGAAGAGCCCTATATACTATCAGATGAAGAGGGGATTGATGTTCGAAAAAAGCCGGGACATGTCCAACCCTGCTCCAATTGAGAAAAGCCTGGTCCGCACCTCTCCCCTCACCCTCCCCCGCCGCCTGGCGGCACCTGTAGTGCCAAGCCATCGAAGTCTACGTGCTGCGCTTGGTGCTCGGTACGTCCGGACCAGGCCGCGTCCTGGCGGGTCCGGGTGGTTCGTTGGGTTTGGATTCGGTGCGCTAGGCTGTGGAAGGGCTTTCCGGCTGTGGACACCATGCCCTCTAGGGCATGGGACCCATCGGGACGTGTCCGCAATGAGATGAGGTTCAACCAGGAACGGGAAGAAACAAAGATTTAAAACAAACATCTTCCCCATGAGGAGTTTTGGGGGATTCATCCTTAGGAAGCCACGGGACAACTGCAGCCCAAACCGCCCAGTTCACCGGCAGTTCTCGCGTCGAAATCCCTGAGGATGGAGTTCTGGTGACAACTCCGGAAGCTAAATGAGTGTGTAGCTGAAATAGGGAGACCAACCCCCGACAGTCTGGCCCTAGCACTCTGTCTACTACCCAGGCAGGGCCAGGAATGAAGTCTCCCGGACTTAACAAATACATACATGCCCACATCCTACATCTTTCGTGAAAACGACCTGTCTGGGACGGGCATGCATACAGGCATGCATACTGTATACTATCATCATATTGAACAATCCCCATTAAATATATAGGGGGAGGGGTGGTGACAGTCATATTTAATATCATACTATTTTCCCTACATTCACCTCGTACATCGCCGATCCCATATGTAGAAATATATAATCCCAAATGGAATGTCAGAGATGAGTCATTAAGACAGGAGTTTCTACCTGGCTCAAGACCTGAAATTGGTCTAAATAATCCATGTTGCTATCTGTACCAAGACTACCAAGAACATCAAATTCACGATGTTAAATCAGATTATGTAACCATATGTACCCGTTTACGTCAAGGCACCGGTCATCTGGTCCGCACGTCCGGTTCATCCGGTCGTCCGGTTCAGTGCACGGGACCGCGGGGTGCGGGGTCTAGTGATCCCAGTCTTCTGAATTGGTGATATATCAAAGGACCAGGAGGGTCGGCGTGACACATGGATGGTTGGAAAAAAAACGTATTTGATGCTCGTGCGTTTAGATGAACGTTTATACATTGATTGGTGGGTATACCAGACTGCCACGCAGCGGGACTGGCCTTGTTGCCCAGTCTCCGCTGCAAGGCCTGGTGATCCTTCTGCATTAGCCGCTGAAAGCTCGGAGGCGGTGGCAGCCGCGCGTGCAAGTTGCCCAGCCTCGTGTTTTGTCTATTTAGGTTGAGGCATGTTGAGGCAAAGAGGTCGGGAGGTATACAGTATAGGAGGTATACAGTAGGATTTTTCGATTAAAGATTGCCCAATGAGCTGAGAAAGTCAGTTGAAGATGTGGTGAACCGAGCAGTCTAAATGACCGTTTTGATCATTGATCCGTTTTGACATTCCATAAAGATGTGGTCCAGTCTTTGGACTCGCCGCCTGTGAGGCCCCGGTTTGGACGCGGCCGGCCTTTTTTCTCCACGCAGCACTGACGTGAAGTGCATGGTTCCGCTGGACCAAGAGGTTTGGTAAAGGAATGTAAAAACAAAAAATCCAGGAACCATGTAAAGGTAAAGGAATTGGATTACATGTATATGGCAAAGGTTTGGTGGGTAAAGGAATGTAAAAAAGGAGTCACATGGAGTTGGGTGGTGTGGTGTGGCTCGTCGCATCCAGCCGTGGATGTGACAGCCGGGCATAACCTCCATGGATAGCACCCCGACATCCTGGATAAAGCCGTTGTCCTGGACCAAGGGACCTGGTGGTGGATCTAAGTTCCAGGTCTGGTGGTTGACCGACGAAGGACCTTGTTTCTCAACTTCTTGTGACATCTCGTGGTGGCTCAGTGGGTGGGGACTCTATCACCAGAATTCACTTCGGTATCAGTTTTCACTATTCCAACAGTATCAAGTGAATTACAGTGAATATACACTATTGATAAGTTTGTTGGAATAGCTAGTGAATATAGAATTCGCAGACATTACAGACTTCACTATTCCAACAGAATTCATCTTCCCAAATCGTCCTGGCAATACAAATCATGCAGGGTGGCAATGCTTGTCAATTCCTCTGCGAAGCCCGGGTGTCCCCGAGAACATCTTTGGGAGTTTCCATACTTTTCAATCTTTCCATCCACCCTCAGAAGGTCAACAAAATCCGAAAAAGACAAACAAAAAAAACTTAGAGTGTAGAGCCATCCCACTTAGATCTCACCTTAGACTCCTTAGATGGTCGAGTCTATCTGATTAATAAGACCTCTTGCTCCGCCGACGAAGCATGGGTCGGGCCGGCGTGACGGACCGCCTAGACTGTCAGTCTGAGAGAGGTCGCGAAGCTGAGCGAACCGTCGCAGCCTCGTGCAGTGGTTTCACAGTTCACAGTAGATGGATGTAGATGGATGTAGATGGCTGCCAAATGATCGGTGGTTTACATGGATTCCCATGTTCTAAAAGACATCTCGGGTTGGAATCGTGAAACGTGCCATCAAACAACATGAAAGCAATGTAAGAACATAGGGATTTACTGGTAGACCGACGAGTCCTCCATGTAGCACCTGGTTTCCAAAGAATTTGGAAGGCATGTGTTTCACCATGTGTCCTTGCTCTGGACTCTCCTCGTCTAGTAGAGCAGCGCTTCTTCTCCAGCACGGTTTGACGTCTCTCAGCCTCTGAGCCCTCTGACGCGCCCGCCGCGGGCGGCGCGGGCTGAAAATTCGGCGCCGAGACGGTGTCGACTGTGGCGGAGCCGAAGGAGTTGGGTCGGCTGGTTCGGAGACTAAGCCGTCAGCCTGAGAAAACCAAGAGACAAAACCCGTGTCCTAAACGCCTGAGATTGTATGAGTGGTCTTTTGTAACAATGTACAAAGAAATATGTATATATAACTATAATATATATATATGTGCAATGTAGAGGTTTGATTGACAGAACCTCAGATGAAGCTAACTGTTCAATGCAAATGGGGGCTTACTAATCAAGAGTCTACATAGACATAGATAAAAAAAATGCTATTACTAAAAATAACTGTTGAAATAAAAGGAGGTAGGAAAGCAGAAAGAGAGAGATAGAGAGAGATAGAGACATTGTTGAAAAGACACTTTGGCAGTGCCAAGGCAAAAAGACCTGTTTCAGTGCCACAAAGGATGGCCAGGATGGTGTCCGATTTCACATGGATTGACTCCCAGAATGTGAGAACCGCGGTGGTCCATACGGTTTGAGATGGTCCGGACGTTGAGGGATGTGGAAACCTGGGAGTCTAAGCTAAAAAGTGATGAAGGATGTGGGAATGTTTGAGGTTTCAGGGATGTGGGAGACCTGGTGGTCCAAAGCTAAAGGCTACAATGTATATATGGGTTGGAGATGGTGCTGAGATGTGGGAACATGGGAGTCAAATTTTAAGTTCACGGTTCATGAGACGGATGTGGGAATCTTTAAGGTTTGAGGAATGTGGGAGCCCTGGTGGTCCAATTACAGTAAGACAAAGTCAGCGCTTATGCAGAGCATCCTGCTTCTTCAGCAGGTCTCTTTGTCTTACTTGTCTTTAGACAACCCTGAAAACAATATTTTGTTCCAATCAATTTCATTAAAAGCAAGCCAGTATATATACCTGGACCCTGAAACGATGTCTTTTTTTCCGTCTCGCCAGAAAACATGACGCAAAAACATGCAGCAAATTCGCGATAGAAAACATGACGCCAACATGACGCAGAAGTGACAAAAAACAACGCAGAAGTGACAAAAATCGACACCAAAACTGTTTGTTGTGTGGGTTTTTTGAGCTTCGCCTGAAAATTGCCCTCACCAGAAAAAAATACGTCTTTTGCGGGGTCTAGGTATATATATAATACACTCTTATATGTCATATCTATGTCATATGTCATATATATATATATGCCATGATCTTTTTTTGGTCTGCTTGTTAGCACATCACAAACATATCAAACACCTTTCAATCCAATCTCCACCATATGGTTCCTTCGCCGCCGGTCGGCGACACCACCGGTCGGCTCCGGAACGCTCTACCCCTCGCAGGCGCCGAAAGCGGAAAATCAGACGCCGCGAGGCATTGATGAACGGGGAATGATCGTCCAACGAGCACCAGCCTGGTAGCCGTTGCAACAAAGGGTGGTGAGCTGGTAGGCTGATTTGGATACTAATAACACAGATTAAACAAACAAAAACAAAACAAATCGAGATAAATCGAGGGATTTGGAGATGGACAAGTCTTGCACAATAGTTTGCTAACATTTGCCTAACAAATGAGAAAGCATCCAAATCCAGCATTGAACACCAATCTAAAATGCAAGAACTCTCTGTGTCTACTCTGTGTAAATAATCATGTGCAGTGTGGAAATAACAAGCAAACACCAAAACAACATGGGTGATGGAACTTCCCGTTTTGTTGGGTTCCCGTGCAAATCAATGGTCATCGGTGATGCCCAAGTACTCTTTGTACCACTTCTTCTGCTGCCTGCACCGTGTGGCGACCGGTGTCGTTCTTCTCGCCGCGTTGGGATCTTGATGTCGAAACAAGTCCTCTTAACCGTCTTAATGTGAGAGTTTAAGGCCTGGCGCCGAATGAACTGAACTAAGCCTAAGGAGTTCCTGGAACTAACTGCCGCCAGGGACTTCCTGGCGCCTGATCGGAGCGACCCGTACCATGTCTCTGCTCTGCCCTGCCCGGTTTGCGCAGCCACCGGGCCCGGTGGGGGTGTCTGAAGGGTCTGACGAGTCAACAAGACCACGTGGACGACTCGTGCAGAAACCATCTGCTAAGAGTGAAACATAAGACTGACCATAGGAATATGCTATGTCACCGTGCATGACCATAGGAATATGTTGAACCATGTTGAACCAGTGCATTGTACAGGTTAAACACACTGGTCTTCAGATCAAGTTCACCTGGCTCTGGAAGTCCAGTCGACTATTTGACGACATGATCTCACTAGTTGACCCTTTCGTCCAGGAATTTCCGGATTACTTGGGTATACTTGAGTGGTGGGACTTCTATATTTAGCCACCAGCTCGGTTGCCACCCCGAAGCGCAGCAAAAAGAAAGAACGCGCTCCACTGCCGGAGTTCCAACGCTTCAGACTAAGGCCAACGGTGCCGTCGCCTGTCGCCCTCCAAGGACATCTTCACGGCGTTGAGCGACTCCAGTTTTCCTGCAGTTGGCGAACAACGGTGCACGAACCGCGAGGAAAGGATGATGGGAGATGGCAGTTGATGGCGGACGCCCATGGCAGTTGAGTCGTTCAAGAGCCAAACATCTCTCCAAAACCCTCCCCAAACTATGCCAAACTCATGAATTCCAGCCATCAAACACCCAAATCACCCAACATTGCCACATGCCACATTCCACGTGGCCAAAACAATCATGCGGATGTGGCAAAAAACGATGGCGGAAGAGAGAAAGAAGCGCAAGCGCCCAAGCACGCGCGATGTGCGAAAACAGCGCCCCAAACCGCCATCGACGTGCGCGAGTTCGCGCCTCCTGCACCCAGCCAGCGTTCGGAGCGTGGCAGGTCCATCAATTCACCCATGCGCGCCAGCCTCCGACCCGTCGACACGGTGCGAGCGAAGCGGTGGAAGACCGTGGATGGGACGAGAGGCTGAGAGAATCGAAGAGTATGGTGCCATGGCGCGAGGCACCGAGTATGGGCCATGGCACGAAGAGGACCATGAGTATAGACCGGGTGAGGACCGGTGATGGTGGGTGAGGTAGGACCGTTTTGCGCTGGGCGCGAAGTAGGACCAGTGATGATCGCGATGGATCTGAGTCTCAGATGTCTCAGGGACTGAGGGTCGATGGCATCGTGTCACTTGTTGGTTCACGAGCGGATTCCTCCCTCGGTCCCTCGGTTCACGAGGGTCTCCCCTCGGTCCCTCGGTTGTCAACCAAGCAATAGATGAGTGTTTTTTTTCAGACTTAAAAAAAAGGGCTTGAAACCATATCACGTGGCAATGCAATCAACTAAGGAGCTGCTTTGAAGCATCATCTGTGGTTGGGATTTAGGTTTGGAGCTTTGTAAAGTTTAAACTAATCATCATACACAGACTCAAGACATGCAAATCAACCTTATATACAAAAAAAACTGGCAACATGACAAAGAAGCTCCAGATACGCAACCTGAATTGACTTATATCAACATATATAATAACTTAAAACAGCATCAAAAAAAACATATACCCTAGGCTTCCAAGACCATTTAAAAAATGGTTGACCTGGTTTTTGTAGTGTAAAATCCTTAGTTGATTCGGTAAAGCCTATTGAATTAATGGTTGTTGGAAGCCTAGGGTATATATATATATGTATATCCACATACAGGACGTACCAAAGACGACTGGACTGAACCAACTGCACTGCCCAAACCCAGCATTCCAACACTCTGCACATGCTGCGTCCACGCAACTTGGCTTCTTCAAGTGCCTGGCTGCCCAGAAGCCTCAGTCTGAGTCTGTCAAGAGCTCTGGAATTAACATTCAGTACGGGCCTCCAATTAGGTTGGACTTGCGCAACATGGGCAAACTCTCTTCCAGTAGAGTTGAGGTGTGTATGAGGTTATTATACAAGATTTGCCCCGTGGACAAAGGGCTTTTGGGGATATCCCACATCTTTGGCACATGCATTAAGCGTGGCTAGGGGCTATAGTGAATGACTGATAAGTTATAAGGATACCATCGACAGCACGAAGGGCTAGTTCAACCTGCAGCTTAACCGTAAGTCCCCACACATTCTGCAAAGGATTTTGATGTGTTTGAGATTTTTTGAGTGTCCACAAGTCTCCACGCATTTTGGCTATACTGACCACCACAAGTCTCGCAGTTTTTGAGCGCTCCGTGTTATCGTTCTCATGTGGCCGGGGTTTGACTGTGCTGTAGGGATGGCTGGAGACATTTCAGAAGTGGCCATTTCAGCAAGCAAGAGGTTCGGTAGGTGTTTAAGGAGTGGGCATGGCCTTCTCAAGTTTCCAGTCTGTAGGGCATGCAGGTCACAAAATGCAGCTAAATCTACAAACTCGCATCACAGGGTAGGGACTGGTCAAGCAGGCAAGACTGGCATAAACACCGAGCATTAAAAGAGCTAGATACTCACCTACACTTTTGATGCAGTCTTCTGTTCAACTCAAGCAAGTGCATGGTGGCAAATCCATCTTCGATTTCGGGTGTTGCCGGCAGCGCACTTCTGTCCCAAAAATCAACACACACACACACACTACCACTACCGTAAGAACCCCTAGTGTTACCACACCGTTTGGGGAAAAACACGCACCCTGCCTTTTGTTCAGCCGAGCGACTCATGGAGGACGCCCGGCGGCAGGGTGAAGCGCCCGAGCACCGCGCCCCTGGCCGGTTCTGGCAGAATACTTTGCGGGTCGGTGGGCGAGGGTCGTTGGTGGCACGGTGGAAAGGAACACAGAAGATGAATAAAACTAAAAGCCTAAGAATCCGGGCCCTCACAGATTTTGAGGGTCCGGACCCCTGCTATGGAGGGAAGAACAAATGCATGGAACCAACCCAAGACACCTGGGTTGGGGAAAAAACATGAAAAAACACATCTATGACAGACAGTGAAGAAGTGTTGCGTATGTTCCTTGATGTTTTGTGGCAAAGCTTCCCGCAAAAAACTTCTCCAAATCATGTAGGATACCCTCTGACGGGAGGAGGCTCTTTTTCTGATGCATTGATAGCAGGTTGGTCTTCCCAAAAACATGTTGGGGCAGTCTGACTCAGAGCCAAATCAGGAGGCTATATAACAGAAATTATTTAAAACTTAGGATTTCCCTGAAAGATGATGTTCCTTTACACACTTTAACACATACTGTTACACAAGTCTAAAACATTTCTCGAACATGTATGGAAACTATATATTTATTCTCATCCAGCCGAGGGCATGTACTTCTAGTTGAAATGTGTCAATGCTCATGTCTGGCGTCCACCACCCCCTCCATACCTGGCCTCGGTAAGGGCACCACACACCGTGCTTCCTGTGCCACGCCCGGGCCACCAAAGAAGACCTCGTGCCCTGCGGTTGCGGCAGCGGCCAGTGCCGAGAAGTGGCTGAGTCGCTAAGGGAATCCACTTCTGAGGTGTTTGGAGAGACTCAGAGTCCCTAAGGAGGAAAGTCCCTAAGGCAGCAGTGGCCGATCCACTTCTGAGTCCTTGAGTGTTTCCTCTGAGGTATGGTGATTGGGAGACATTGTTTATGTAGCTGCCAGCCAGTCGGGTCCAGTCGTACCTTCTCGCTAGGGAGTCTGCCTTTAGGGCTGGTGTAACAGATGAGCTGCTCGGCAGAATTGTTGCCTAACACCAAACCCAAACCCCTAACCCCTAACTCTAACCCGTTCAAGAGAAGGACGGTTTGGGAATGACCCCATTGGACGATCCAGGTGAGGTCCGCGGCCTCCAACTGGGCTTTTGGCATCACTGCTGGTGGAAACCGGGGCCATGTGGCGACAGACACGAGTTCCCCTAGTTTTGACCCACAGCCAAGTGGTTCGTCTGACCAATTGTTGGTATACAGTATACAAATTTTCAAGGATATGGTTGCTTCATGTTGTTTGGCGCTGTGTGTCAGTTTTGGAAAAGGGATCAAAAGGGTAATCAAAGCCGCAAGCAAATCCTGACTTAGCAGAAGAACCTGTTGATGATCAGGCATGGATGCGACAGCCCACCAGCTGCCTTCAGCGGTGTGCCCGATGCAGGGGCCGTTCAGCAATACCAGAGGTGCTGGATCTGTGGGAGAGCAGTCTGCCAACAGCACCAGGACAGCCTGGCCGAAGACCGTGGGACACATGATACTGTGTGTCCGCCCCGGAAGGTGGATTTCTTGGGCCCTCCATGGCAGGGGTCCGGGCGGGCCCGGATTGTTAGGGCAAGTAACTATCTCTCAAGCTACATCTTGCCAAAGAACCCATGACCCATCATACCCGGTGAATGGAGTATCAGTATTGGATCTTTCATGAAGCATTCTGTTTAGATGCAAATGGACCCTATATAAGTCTATAGAGATCCATGCACATGGGTATGACCAATCCACCATTTTCTCACTCTTCTCCGCATGATTTAGCTCACAAAGTTCACAGCTTCAGCTTCATTCGCACCACGCGGCCACGCACTTACAAAACGCGGCCGCTTCAGCTTCCGCTCTCTGCTCACAGGGGCACAGATCCCCGATGGTCTCCTATAAGCTCAGATTCCCCATGAATCTGAATGAGCTCGGAGCTTTGGATCGGAGAAAGCCCGGACGGAGATCGATCGATCCGTTTTAACACGAGCACAGCACAGGGTGAAGAAGGGAACCAAAGCAACACCTGGTTCTTGGGACAGCTAACCTTCCCGAAGCCCCTCAAGAACGGTGAAAGCAACTGGGGAGAAAGGTGAACATACACACTTCCTGAGCAGCTGATGCAGGAGCTTCCTTGAATCATAAGACCAACCCCTCCCAAACCAAAGCCAAACATCCCCGACCTCAGCCTCCCCTACAACCTCTACAAAAAAAGTCTAAGTTATAACACTCCATCCAAAAGCTTGCCTTCTACCCTAACTTCTGCCAGAAATGAAGCTTCTACAAAACAAGAAGTGCGCTCCTGAAGTCCCCCCTGCTCTCAAAACTTATACATCCTGCTGTTGTCCATCCTAGCCGCTCAACCCCTTGTTCCATGGCTGGGTCCAACCCAGCCATCTATTCCCAAGAAACATCCCACAAGCTCATCCCAACACCATTACAGCGATCTATCCATCCATCCATCCATCTATGACTATCCCTATCCCTATCACTATCACCAACTATGATCTTTATACAATATCAACAAACACTCATAAAACAAGACATCCAACTCCTGGATCCGTCAACGTCGCCTTGTGCAGGTACTGTCCCGGCACCATCCAGGGATCTCGGCTCCGCGAGGGCCAGGAGCCCTCCGGACGGCCCAGCGCCCAGGCCGTGGCCGAGCCACGGAGGATGCTGCCGGCTTCCACCTGCCCGATGGAGGTCCGGCGACCGGCCGAGCCCATGGACCGGCCGAGGCATGAAGAGAGTGTGTTGCTCCCAAGGTATGTTGCGAAAAGGAACTACTTGCTAACTGCCTTTAACTGCCTTTTGAACAACTGTTGTTTTGTTTTAATGTTTTGAATTGGATTCTGAGACTCGCATGACTCATCTGATGAGGGACTGCGCCACCAATGAGGGACTGATGGACAGAATGATGGACCAGGGTGTGACGTGCTTGGATTTGCTTTATTAATAAAGTCTTAAACGATTCCTTTATAATCCCTTATAGCTATGCCCGTGGATTCACCCCAAGAACAAATCATGACAAATCCACCCCGACAGATCCACCCCAAACCAAGTGTCGCCCCAAACTCTGCCGAGCGTCGGTGCCCGTGAGGGGCGCGGGGTGCTCCTTCAGGGGCGGCCTGGGCGGGGCGGTGGGCCTTGCCGCTGTGTTTCGTGGGTTGACCATGCTACAGGTGAGGCAGGAAAACTGATGGAAGAAAATGGGGATTGCTGGATTCATATAGACATCATTCATGATTCATGATCATTCCCTTATACTCGCCAGTAAGGCAAAGGAGAGATAGACAAAGAGAGAGAGAGAGAGTTGAAAAGGCAGAAAAGACAAAAACCATGTTCAAATTTGTATATCCATGTTTTGGGGGAGCCTTGGAATATCTTCGGGTGAATGCATGATCAACTCACAGTTGGCACGATTGAATTGTTGGGAGGTGTTTTCAACTTTCCAACTTCTTTTTGGATTGCTGAATGATAGCGCAACCATGTGCTTCCAAAAATAGTATAAACATGTTCCCTCTCAATCCCTCATGTACTGAACAGCACTCTCCCATACTGCAGTCATCATGACATCCATCTGGACTTCCTGGCCTGAGATAGGCATCCACCCAGCGGCGGATCATCTGGCTATTGTGGGCCTCTTCCTCTTCATCCTCCGACTCCTCCGGTTGCCTGCCACGCCGCCGACAGAGGGCGAATAGACGCGATGCAGAGGGCGAGTGCAGCGAGTGCAGTGACAGAGTGTTTTTGATGCGGACTGATGCAGCCGTTTAAACCGGTGTGAGTGGAGTAGAAGATGCATCTGAGTTTGGAGGCCAACTGTCACACTTGGACAACCATTGTTTTCTTCGGAGTTTGGAAGGCTAGGGTGTGGTCACTGAGATCTTGACTTGGGTCTCCGATTCTTCTGGTCGGGTGCCGAATAAGACAAACGGTTTCGATCCTCTGGTCGCGGCGCTTTGACTCAAGAGCGACCCCTGGATTTGTGCGACGCTCGTCGCTCGTGAGTCAAAGAAAGGGTCTATATGACCCACGTGATTTTTTGAGGCAACGTTCCTATGAACGAACGTATCTTCTTCCTATCAAAACAGGTGCCAACGCATGTCGTACTATTAAAAGTGTATGCAGTGCAGTATATTAGATGGTTGAAAGGGTTTGAACTTTTATGACAGTCAATGTAAACTTATGGTACCCTGAAACAATCATGGAGTGGAAAACCACCGGTTTGTAGAGGAAAACAAGTCTTCCAAGAGGCCATGTTCCACTTCCATAGGGGAGGGGAACACATGGCTCCATCTCGTGAAAACATGCCATGCCCAACAAAAACCACACACATCTACGTCGTTCGAACCGTCACGTGCATCAAACCGTCACGTTCGAACTTGTCCCCACCCCACCGAAACCCCCAACCCTTTCCACCGAAACCGCCTGTCCCCATCCAGATCCCTCGGACAGTCCAACCTCAGAGTCTCATAGAGGCGACTCCAGGCTTGAACCCCATCACCCAGGTCGTTCACTTCGCCCTCCTAGCCCCCGTGGCGTGGCGTGGCGTTCCAGCACACCAGGCGCGCAGAACAGATCGAGAAGCACGCGCTTCTAGCCAGCCCGCGCGGAACGTGTGATTGTGTGTAGGTTGTTTTTTTGAAGGAACTGATGGGTGTGTATTGGTGTTACAGGTGTGTACTGGTATGTACAAGTACCATGGTGTGTACCATGGTGTGTGCTGGTTCCTGATTTGTTTTTGTGTGTGTGTGTCGTGTGTGTTCACCCTTTGGTTTCAAAGGTGTGGACCTTTGCACTGGTTTCTGTGGCCCCATGGTCTGGCTCACTAGCTCCTGGCCCACCGTGTCCAGCATGAAAGCTCCTGGCCCACCACATCCTTAATAGTTCGACCCTCCAAACCACCAAGCACCTTTCCCAGACGCGACGAATGGGACTGCCAATCAGGCCAGGGGTGGTGGTTGACTGGGGGGTCTGGCTTGATCGGCAGTCCTATTCCAGTCCCATGGAGGCCGTCTTGGTTTTCAAATCTTCTCAAGAGGTAGTTGAATCCCTAGGACCCGCACTGGGCAAACAAATATATTGGAAAGTCAAACACGCTGCCGTGAAAACCCATACGTCTTCGTTCTAAAACATCATCACATCTTCATCTTACCCCTCCACCAATCTCAAAATATCTCCACCTGCTGCATCCACTTGATCTATAGCCAGAACCTGGTAGAACATCCTCTATAATAAAAATAACTATACCAGCACCCCCTAAGGGGTGTCCAATAATGACCCCTTAGCATGGGTCATAATTGATGACCCCTTAGGATTTGATGATTGAAATCTCATGAGGAGGGACATCGAGGATGAATACTGGAGAACCAGATTGAATTACAGGGTTGCCATCCATCCGAGCCCATCTGCAGCGGCCGCAGCAGGTTGCCACCGTGGCCTTGCCGGCTCAGGTGGTGGCACCATCGAGATGCTCAACAGAGGTGATATGAACCAAACCTGCATTCACCACCTTCCGATTCATGAAATCAGGGTTCCAAGAACACTTCTCCCTTCTGAACTCTGCAGCCATGGGGAAACGACCTGCAGAGCCTGGTTTGGATGCTGGCTTGAAGCACTTCGGACTGGATGACTGGTAACCTTTGATTTTTTTGTGTTCCAAGACCTCCGGTCAACATTGTACAATACCGGACAGTTCTTAACCTAAGGAAGTTGGCAACGGAAATGATCCAGCGGTGCCCTGTCGAGTTGGTCAAGGACGAGGGCCAATTGATACCTGGTGGTGACCTTCGATGCAAAAAAAATTTATGGATGCGGAGTGCATTCAAAGCCAGTGGTCTGGTGAGGGTACCTCGGGAGACCCGGTTGCGCGGGGTAATCAAGAAACTTCTCAAGAAGACAAGCGTGGGTAACTAAGTTGATTTAATATTTTTTGTATGTCCAAGCATCTCATTCTGCTCTCAAAAAATGATAAGTTCCAATCTCTCTCCTAGCCATGGATGATCACCTTAGGCAAAAACATGGATAAAGACGCCACTGCTGAATTTGTGAGGGAACAGGCCTTCCAGGTTCATGACCTACTCCTTCGGCATAAGAAGCAGCACCGGAAGGGGCACATGTATACTTCACCCAAAGCACTATCCACTTCGAGCTCGAAACCAACCCTAAACTGAATTATACAGAAAGATGAAATATGATTGAGTTGAACATCGTAGATCGTTCATGGTTACTCCCAAGTGTCTAGGCCATCCATGGATGATTTGGATACCCAGCCCTGCGATCTACAGTGGGAAGTTCCAAAGATTGATTGGGATGCCATGCAACTTGGTTTGGTAAGTTGGTGCCAATGCATGGCAAACTGTTCATCAATCGCGCCGCCAAGGGTAAAGGAAGCGAGGGAATCCGACCCGCCACCACCTCCACCGAGCGATGAAGAGGAGGAAAGTGAGGAACCCACGGAAGATGATGATGATGATAATGATGGGGAGGCATGTGTTTCGTTATTGACAGGTTCCCTGGGCGCCTGAGGGTTTTGGGAGGTGTTTGTTTGTGTTTCCCAACCTAACCAGTTTTGTCAGAACACTGGCTTTCTCGTGGCAACACCATAATGTGAAAACCAGACCCTGGATTTCTCTGTGGCAACCCAGACCTGGCCCACCATGATATGAAAACAAAAACGTTCTGCGTGGTTTAGGGGGTGTTTTGTTGTTTTTCTTTTCTCCGTATTGAGCTTCATGCGCAGGCAGAAACGAAGAATAAAAAGACACAGAAGCGAGAGGAGGTCGAGAAGACAAAGAAGGCACACCAGACTCCAGAAACTCAACCAGAAGATGAGGATGAAAGTGAAACTGAGGATAAGAGTGAGGCTGAAAAGGAGAAGCAGAAACCAGAGGAGACAAATAAGACAGAGGTCGAAGAACCACAGGAGCAAAAGAAAGAAAAGGAGGAGGACAGTCAGGCTGGTGAGAGAAGTGAGGAAGAAGAGCAAGAGAGACAAAAGTCAGAAGAAGAGGATGACAGTGAGGCTGATGAGGAGAACAAGTCCCAGACATGTGGCACTGAGGAACGGCAGGGGCAACAGGCAGAGGAGAGCGAGGAAGAGAAGAGCGACCAAGAGCAAGAGGAGCAAGGTTCAGAAAAAGAGGATGGCAGCGTGGCCGCCGAGAAGGGAGACAAAGAGGAGCCACCAGCAGAGGAGGAGAGCGAGGACGAGAAGGTGGAGGTCGAAGCGCAAGAGAAGCAAGGTTCAGAAGAAGAGGATGACAGCGAGGTTGAAGAGAAGGGAGACTTGCCAAAAAGGAGTGTGGCAAAAGACACGGAGCCACCAGCACAGGAGGAGAGTGAGGAAGAGAAGAGCGAGGCCGAAGAGAAAAAGAATCAGGGTTCAGAAGAAGAGGATGAGAGCGAGGCTGAAGAGAAGGGAGACAAAGAGGAGCAATCTGCAGAGGA